ATGTCTGGCGTGATCAACAGTTTGAACCAGGCCAGTACACTCAAACTCTCAGTCACGATGACTTGTAACTTCGTGCTAGGCCAACCACTAACGAACAGTTACATATACCTCGTCTAATAAAATGAATAAGTCACCTTCCTGACAAATCGACCCGAGTGATATTTAAATCCAGATCTCATGGTCGAACGTTCTAACAATTCAGCTACGACCCCCATATATACAGGGAGCGATGGATAAATTGTCATCTAAATAACGCAAAAATGAAAATAACCCTGACTTCTCATCTTAACAGATATATTTATCAAAATTACACAAAAATATCTTGAAATACTAAAGATTACATTTATTCAATAACATCGCGATTGGATTCAACCACGGCCTCCAGACGACTTTGGAATCTCCTGCACCTCTTCTAGACGGACCCCTTTTTAATTTGGTAAATGCTGCCATAATCCTTGACTTTAGTTAATCTTTGATGTTACAAAGATTTTTGTTGATCTTTCGCTCAACTGCGCCCACACATAATAATCAAGGTCTGGAGAGTGAGGTGGCCAGATGTAAGAGGTGATGTGGTCGCAGAAATTGTCTACCCATTCATGGCTGTCTTACAATTTCTGCAAACCACATATAATCTTTTCCATTTTTACCTCCCAGACCTACAGGCAGCTTTACATTTCTCATTATATTATATATATATATATATATATATATATATATATATATATATATATATATATATAAATCAAAACATTCAAAATTCTTTTAAACAAGTTAAACAATACCGACAAGATCAGACTGTTAAATTTTTTTTATTAATTTTTTTTTCAATTTTCAACTAAGTTGTTTTATAACAGAATAAATATTGATAAACATTCCAAAGTTTATTTTTTTGGAATCCGTGTACTTTCGACTGTCACTACAGTCGTTTTCAAGAACTGCTTGTTTAGTTTGTTTCTGAAAACGTGTTTGGCTAATTACGGCATTTTTTAAATGGCTGGAACGAATTTCAAATCATTTAAAGGTGACGTTATTTACAATGGTCAAATTGAATTTTTGAATGGTTTTCTTTTTTTATTCACATTTCAATATACAATCTCCTATGGAGAAAGATAGCCTATTTAATAACCGCTGCTTCCGTTATATTAAAATGGCTGCCAAAATTTTAAGTCTTTTTTTGCATTAAGTTCTAGATAATATTTTAGTGTTATTTACTAAATACGTTTCTCTTACGTTAGTATTATTTTGGTTATTTATAATTTGATCTGTATGTGCTGATTTGCACTACATTTTAACAAGTTAACCTACAAGAAAGTGTGGTGCATGTGTAACCAATGTAAGGATTTAATGTTACTTGTTGTTTGTTAATGTTATAGATAGAATCTCCTAAAGGGCATTAGAATCTTAAACATTATTTTTACCTAGTGTGGATTTTTGAAGTGCTGAAGTATTTCTAATAGTTAGGCATTTTGAATTTTTGAAATAAATGATAAATCTAAGGCATTTGTTAAAATCAATAACTGTTATATGGATGAGAATTATATTTTTAATGGGATTTTCTTGTTTATAATTAGGATGCATCTGACTGCAATAAAATAACTTAATGGAGATTTTGTTTTTGTTTATATCAAGTTGGTTGTTTATTTTATAATTTTTTAAAAACTTCTTTAAAGCGAATCTTATTTCTTCATCAACGACATGGTTTAGGAAATTATTGATGCTAAGTGTTTGTTGTATGTTGCGTAATTCTCTATAAGATAAAAACAATGGGACCGAAGAGGGAGCCATTTTCGCACGTTTAAACATGTATTTTTATAATACCCATCTGCAAGGAGATTTTTATTAATTGAAGTGATAAAATTATCATTGTTAGCATCCACTAGAACATCCAGGAAAGGAATTCTGTTTTTAATGTTGAGTTCATAAGTGAATTATAGAACTGAATTATTTTCAAATGTTTCTTAAAGTTTTTTAAATATATATATATATATATATATATATATATATATATATATGTATATATGTGTGTGTGTGTGTGTGTGTGTGTGTGTGTGTGTGTTTTAATTTACACACACACAAGAAAATAAATAGATATAAATTGTATTGTTTTTTTTTAGGGGGAAGATTTTCAGCAGTCATCATGACAGTCGGATGAACATTCTTGCTGTAACACTCTCGTTTGTATTACTGTTTCTGTTAATATATTTGTTTAACTCAGTTCCCCTCTTTGTGTAAATTTATTTCTGGCCCTAACAATTTAACAACAAATAAAAATATAAATGAAAAATATAAAAGTTATTTAAGTTTGTGCCCTCTGGGAAAAGTGAGTTTGTAAACGGTGACTATTACTGCTACTAATGCATTACTCTTCGACAAAACGATTCGAGTTCTTTCAGTCATTGGCATGTTTACCTAAAAATAAATACGCTTAAATTCAATTATTCATCCCTGCCGGCTTATGGGTAGATTCTCCGACTGATGCCAATTCAGCCGGGTTTCGATA